GTGGGAATTTGATTTTCTAGTATTTTTATTTGAATCCAAATGGGGGGTACTTCCTTATTTACATTGTAAACTTAAGTAAATGGAGTAATATAAATTTTTTTATATAAAATGACAAAGACATTTACTTAAATGTTGAAAATGGAAATAAGATAATCTGTACAGCGCCACTGACTGGGCTAATACTGAATACTGAAAATAAGTTAAATATATATATAAGTTTTATATTTTTTTTCTTAAAAAATCACACTGGTCTACAGCCCACTGTAGCCCTTAGTGTGGTTCTGCCCTTGTTTGCTTCTGATATCTATATTTTAATGAGTAAGCAAGAAGGTTTAAAAATCAGCATTCATTTGCTGCTTAAGAGCATCTCTAACCGATGTATCAAAAGTGCCACATAGACATTTAACGGCTAGAAATAACATCTCACATCACTCCAATCGATATGTCAAAACTGATGTAGAATGAAGGCTGGAGGTTGATATGTTATTTTTGACATCCCAAAAGCAAGATGTCAAATGAATATTTTATTATTTTTAAAAGATAGTTGACAGTTTCTTTCATTTATTATTTTACAAATTTATAAATAAACCCAATCCTAGACATGTATTTATAAAAAAACCCAAGCACTATTTAAACATAGAAACACACCCAAAATCAACCCCAAAGTCAACTTTTTGGGTGTGTTTATAAATAGGTTTTGAGTGTGTGTAATGATGGGTTTTGGGTGTGTTTATAAAGTGTTTTGGGTGTTGGGTTTTTTTATAATTTCAACCTCCATTTTGGGTGTTTTAGTGAAACTCCCTTATTATTTTCCTTTTTTTATTTTTTTTCTTCTTTATCTTAAATGATTTGACTATTACAATAATTATTTATTTGATATATCGGGTGAAGTGTAAAACTGTGTAAATGTCAAATTGCCACATTAGCCATCAAATTTAAATTTGATGTTTGGTATTTGACATCTCCCTTGGAGATACTATAATAGGTGTCCAAACAATAATGCGACTTCATTGTTTTCACAGACAAATAATAGTGCAACATTTTATTTATTTATTTTTACAATGACTTCTTTAATATGAATTGAAATCAATGACAAAAAACGACAATTAAGACGGTTTATTTTATGACAGTTTATTTTATGATGATGTGGATAATATTCTCCACATTGCGATTATTAAATCATTTGTATCTCAAATTATAAAATAAGTTTTTGAGAAGACTCTAAATAAGTTTTTGTTACTTGTTTCTTCGATAATAACTGACAGAAGTAAGAGAATTGTGGTAGGAATCAAATCAATTCTCAATCTAATTAGGTAACGTTTCATTTAACTGGGTAATTCCCGATTAAATTGAGTAACTCCCAATTAGATTGATTAATTCCCAATTAAGTCAAATAATTCCCAAATAGAAGGAATTATTTAACCTAGGATCTGATTTAATTGGTTCCCACAAGAACCTTGGAAGAGAATGCAACCGCCGTCATTTTGAAGTGGCAAAAGGTGGCGCCAACCACAGACGATGGTCTTTTTATGAGAATGCTTTTGCAGCCTGTGACTTCTAAAGTGAAGAAGGGTGAGAAGATTCTTAGAATCTCAATTTTGGCCGAGTTTCTTGGCAATGCCGACCAACTTGTGTCATTGTTGGGGAAGGAGTTTCCTGAATTGGGTTTGAAGAAGGAGAACTGTATGGAGATGACTTGGATTGACTCTGTGCTTTGGCGGGCTAATTTTGATAATGGGACTAAACCTGAAGCGTTGCTCAATAGAAATCCCAATGATGCAAATTTCCTGAAAAGGAAGTCTGATTATGTTCAAACCCCAATCTCCAAAGATGGGTTGGAGAAGATGCAGGAGAGGATTCAGAGAAGAATTATCTCACACAAAGCAGAAGGCTTTACAGTTACATGACGCCATTTGTGTCCAAGAACCCAAGAAGTGCTTTCTTGAATTACAGGGACCTTGACATTGGTGACAATAGCTATGAAGAAGGGAAGGTTTACGGATTGAAGTACTTCAATGACAACTTTGATAGGTTGCTGAAGGTGAAGACTGCTGTTGATCCAGAAAATTTCTTCAGGAACGAGCAGAGTATCCCTACTCTTCCAAGTAAGGCATAGGAGAATTTAGCTGTTGACACAGCTTGTATTGGTTATTGATTCATCAACTATAAGTTTTTTTAAAAAAACAATGTCACTTAGATGATGAGTATTTGGTTACTTTTGATTGAGCACTTGTCATAGTGAATATACAAAATCTATACAATTTACTCTTTGATTTTTAGATTATGAGAGACGTGACATGTATAAGAAAACTACAAACAGTCTCATTCATTCTAGTTAATGCAAATGGTAGGACACTAGCATGATTGACAGTGTTTACCTTTCAAGGCTGATTTTAACAATTTCTTTCTATCCTCTCTGATTTGTTTGCTTGCTCAATAATCTTTGGGTTATGAGTCTTTTTTTTTCTCTGTTTTTCTTTGGGTTTATTTCTTTCAATATTCTCTATGAACAAAATTATCCGTGCATATTCTTCACTTCAAGCTTAAAAACCACTTTCCTTTTGATCAAAGTCAGAAGATATGTTCCTTTCACAATGGCATATAGGTAAAAGTGAGTGAAAATAGCTGTCATGGAAAACTCTGTCTGCAATGAAGCTTCGGCTGGTTGGTAGGTCTTGACTTTATGGTGTTCACACGTTTAGAATTATGCGTGTGGGATCCCATCCACTGCTAGAGGAGGAATACAATCATACAACGTCTGGGCCTCAGCCTGTTCCCTATGACTAAGTCCTCTCCCCATAGAAGAACTTTCATGTGGGATGCCTCGCACATGACCCTTTTGGCCTTTTTCTTTTGTGGGCTATCACCATGTGCTTTACTGTTATTGTTGTGTATCTTGAAATAGTGAGAACATTTTTGCATTCACTTTAGTTATGGATACTCCAATATTTTGTAACACTTTGTTAGGATTATGGATGGGTGGTTTGCCGAATCTATACTCCAATATTTTGTAACACTTTGTTAGGATTATGGATGGTTGGTTTGCCAAATTGTTGGTGATTTCCAGTCAGTCATCAAGACTCTTTGTGAATGCATTCAACCTATTTGATGATCATCAGAAACCAATTTGCATTTGATTTAACTACTAAGCTCAAAGTGGAGATGTACATTTTAGCTCTCTGACTCTGGCTTGCCATGTTCCAAGGAGTATATGATTGATATGCTTTTGGTCCTGTAAATCATAAATAGTTTTAACTCAAATTACCACTAGCTTTTCCTTGCCCTGCTTATGCATGAGCTTCCTACTTTCAGATGGAGGCTTGAACCCCAAGTTCATAAGGGAGTTAGACATGATTCTAGATTACCTGGAATTAATAAATAATGTAAACAGAACTTGTTTGATTGGATGGTTAAACACTCAAACTACAATCTTCACATACATTTTGTTTCCTACTCCTGACCTCTCCAGAAGTTGCTGACGTTGTTTGCTGATATTGCAGATGGAAACTCAGACGTGAATAGCGGGTCAAGTTCCAACTTACCAATGGGGAAGTTATTCGTTCTACTGATATGCTTGCTTATCGGAGGTTGGTAACGAGAAACGTTTCCATAGTCAAGACTAGGATCCTTCATAACCTTTTTGTTTTGTTTTGTTTGATTTTTAAATTCTCTGTTTAGTAAGTTCTTACTTAGCATATTGTCAATCCCTAAATTTTGCGTGTAAATTGAAGTCGTTTTAGGCTGGGGTTGAAAATCAGCATCTTAACTGACAGAAATATCCTGGTTTTTTTTTTTAAATTAAAAAAAGAAAAAGAAAAAGAAAAAAAAGAACCTCTAGTTAGTTGAGGGCGGCTTTTGATTCTCCGGTTAACGTAGGACAGATATGTAGGCCATGCGAATAGTGAGAATGCGGCATTTTATAGTAGGTGATGACAAATTGCTCATTGCGGCCATTGTAGAAGTGATGAGTTATTTGCTGATGTATCCAAGACAAAATCATGCCATATTCCAAATTTCATCCAAGAATTTTTTCACTTGAAGTTTCCTTTTATACTTGGAAATTTTCAATGGCCAATGTCTGCAATGTTCTTTAATTTAGAGTACAAAGTAGGAACATCAACCAGATATTTACTAGGAACGTCAACAAATAAATGACTGAGCCAGTACCATGTTAAATGCAAAGGATATAATCATGGTGATCTTCGACATAAAACTACTTCCACTACTTATCATCCTTTTCAACTCAGTTTGGTCCATAAGTTCAAATTCAATTTCTGAAAGCTTACTTCAATGTCTTTCCACTCACCTAAGGCATTCTAACTCAATTAAGGAAATAATCTTAACCAGAAACAGTTCTGCTTATTCCTCAGTCTTGCAATCTTCCATACAGAACCTCAGATTCTTGAACAATTCAACGCCAAAACCCAAAGTTATCGTTACTCCTTTCCATGAATCTCATGTTCAAGCAGCAGTTATTTGCTCCAAGAAACATGGCATACAAAAAAGATTCCAAAGGGGGGGCCATGACTACGAGGGCCTATCCTATGTATCATATGCTCCTTTCATCATCATTGAACTTTTCAATCTTCAGACCATCCATATTGACATAAAGAACAGGAGTGCATGGGTCGAATCCGGTGCTACACCTGGTGAATTGTATTACTGATAGCACAAAAGAGTAATGTACATGGATTTCCAGCAGGGTCTTGTCCCACAATGGGTGTGGGAGGACATATTAGTGGAGGTGGATTTGGTACCATATTCAGGAAATATGGTCTAGCAGCTGACGATGTCATTGATGCTAGGATTGTTGATGTCAATGGCAGAATTCTCAGCAGAAAATCCATATGGGGGAAGAACTCTTATGGGCTATCAGAGGAGGATGAGGCTCGAGCTTTGCAGTCATTCTGGCCATAGAAGAAGGTGTAACAGATAAGCTCCATGAAGACTTTTTCTTACATTTGGTTGTGAAAGTTGCAAATGAAGCCGGTGCAACTGATGACAAAACTATTAAAGTGTCGTTCGATTCGTTGTTTCTTGGACCGGTTGAGAAGCTTCTCCGTTTGATGCAAGATAAGCTCCCGGACTTAAGTTTTGACCACAGCAATTGCACTGAAATGAGTTGGATCCAGTCTGTGATGTACTTTGCTGGCTTCCCAATAAGCGAATATTTGGAAGTTTTGCTGAAGAGGACTCAGCCATCTAGGAGCTTCTTCAAAGCAAAATCGGACAATGTGACGCAACCCATTTCACAAGCTTGCTTGGAAGGTTTGTGGCAAAGACTACTTGAAGTAGAGACATCCCTGTTGATATTGACACCTTACGGTGGAAGAATGAGCGAGATATCTGATTCAGAAACTCCTTTCCCACATAGAAATGGAAGTATATTTGCAATCCAGTATTTGGTCACTTGGGATGATGACAAGGAAACTGAGAAACATATTAGCTGGATGAGAAGGGTGTATATGCCTACATGGCATCACATGTTTCAAAGTCCCCAAGAGCTGCCTATTTGAACTATAGGGATCTAGACTTGGGAAGAAACCATGATGCTAATACAAGCTATGCACAAGCAAGCATTTGGGGTTTGAAGTATTTCAAGAGTAACTTTAGGGGACTTGTTCATGTTAAGAACTTAGTTGATCCTGGTAACTTCCTTAGAAATGAACAAAGCATCCCTGTTTTACCATCTGGGCAGAAATAGAGTGTAAATAATAAATAGTTGGGTTTGGCCCAATGTAGAAAATAATAATAAATAAGTCTGCAGCCTAAACCAATGTATTCAACACTTCTCCAAAAGCTTAGACCATATTCCATCACTGTAGGAGCATAAAAGAATCTATCAGTGCTACTTTCTATGTGCAGATGCAGAATAATGGAAATTGTTGGATTTTAGATGCTCTGATAGCACTGTTAGGTTGTGTTTGAAGGGGTTTAGGATAATAGTACAATAATTGAAATAACGTGATTTTATTAGATTGGAGGAGAATCGTACATGGCTTTGTGTACATAGGATTGGGAATTGTAGCTATTGGCCTTCACTTGTGTAGCTATTAACTACTTCATATCCTGCTTGATAAAACAGGGCTTTTGGCCTTTATATGGCTATTGGCTTCCATGTGGCCGCCTTGATGACTTAGATTGGTGCGCTCTTAGCTCCACTTTGCTAGATTGCTTGCAAAGTTATAGGCATTGTTTCCTACTTGTCTAAGTTCCACTGACTTGGCTTATTCCTCTTAGACACAAGTTCTGCCACTACTCCTTGGATTATATTCTAGAATAAACTCAAAATCATTTCTAATAGGACTTGTCTAGGGCATGAGCTATCCTTCTGGGATACTTTTTACCCCAAGCCGACATAGCCTCTTCTTCCACCACGCTTTCTAAAATTGTGCAGACCCCTTTCAAATGCGTGCATTACTTTTTAACAAAAATAAAGCAATATTAGTTGTATTTCTCATTTCAACACACAGAAAACAAAATGATGACAGCTTCATGGAAGCAAGTCCATCACTACTGCATCGCTACTGGATCATATTTCTTTTTTTGGTACACGTTTATGGAAAGTCTTTAATTAGTATAGAACTTATTTTTTGGATCCTACCATTGAAAAGTTATCAATAGCTACAATGTTCTATCAACTCATGGTGCCTATATAAGTGAGCTCAGATGATGCGGACATCAGTGACAAACCTTTTAAGGTTTACCAAAGAAGGAAGAAACGATCAGCCAAGCCAACATTATCATTATGGTTGGGGTGAAATCTGAGTTTCCAGATTTCAATGGGAAAACTATTTTTTTTTCCAGATTCCAGATTTCACTAGGATTTCTAGATTTTCCAGATTTTATTAAGTTTTAGTTTCCAGTTTTTAGTAGGATTTGATTTAAGTTTCCTAGCTTGTTTGGATTGGTTCCTTTGTGGATTAGGATTCCTTTTTAGTAAGGGATTTTTATCCTTTTGTCTCTAGGTTTAGTTTGCTATAAATACTCCCCATGTAGTTCTTAAAATTCAGATTTGAGATATTAAGAAAAGTTTATTTTCCAGAGATTGGAGACTCCTTGGTGTGAAGCCAAGGCATCTTTTACCACCTAGTTTCTGGTTCTCCATTGTTTTCGCTTCCGCTAAATTACCCAAATACTCAACTCACCCATATCCTACATCAAACTTTTTGAGTGTTTTCTTGTTCTTCACACCGTGTGTCAAGTGATGGCTCCGACTAAGCTTGGAAAGACAGATGAGCCAGAGACGGACTTTGAACGTCTTATTCAGATGATGGAAAACTTATCAAAGCAAGTGGCAGATTCAGACACTAGATCCAGACTCGTGGAACGTCGCCTTGCAGACTTAGAAGCAGCTAACCAACATGATGAAACAAGCGTGAATGGAGAAGAGAGGAATCATGATCGACAACGTCATGATAGAAGGAATGATCGAGACGCAGAGAGACACAATTTTCATCGTGGATATGAGCAAGACCCTGATGAAAGGGTGATGAGATCAGTGAAAGTTGACGCTCCTAATTTTGATGGGGAGCTAAACCCTAAAGCACTACTCGACTGGTTGGCTACCATGGATCGCTATTTTGAGTGGCATGACATGTCTGAAGCTCGAAGGGTGAGATTTGCTAAGATAAAATTGGTGGGTCAAGCTGGATTGTTTTGGACCAATGTTGAAACACAGCTAGAGAGAGCTGGTGAAGAACCAATCATCCACTGGGGTGAGATGAAAGAAAGGTTGAAGCAGAAATATCTATCATATCCTATGAACAGAGTTTGTTGGACGAGTGGCAAACTCTTCGTCAAGACGACATGCCAGTTGCTGAATATATTGCTAAATTTGAGGAATTCATGCTGCGATGTAACATAAGGGAAGATCGAAGGATGACTATTTCGCGGTTTAGATCAGGACTTCGTCCAGAGCTTCAAAGAGAATTAATTCCTCATACGGTGAATACCTTAGAGAGGGTTTTTCAGATAGTACAAGAATTAGAGAAGTATTTGAAATCTTCCAATGTAGTCAAGCGAGTTGATCCTTACAAATATGATTTTCGTGCTGGTACATCTGGGACAAAGCCTAATGCAACGTCTAAGGGTCTCACAACGACAAGTTCAGTTAGAATTGACAAAGGAAAAGGAGCACTAGTGGATACACGAAATGGTGGAACACAAAGATGTTATAAATGCCAAGGTTTTGGACACTTTGCTGTCCAATGCCCAACGAATGAGACAACAAGAAGTCTGATCACAAACATTGACAAACAAACTGACGATCAAGGTGATTTTGAGGAAGATGTTTATGAGCCCCAACAACCTGCTGAAGATTGTGGAAATGACTTTGAAGCCCCTCATCCAACATTATCAGTAGTAAGGTGTACTTTGGCTCAACCTAGGAAAGAAACTGAGGATTGGCGTAGAACTTCCATTTTTCACACTTACATCAAGTCTGGTGATAAAGATTGGAAAGTGATCATAGATAATGGCAGTTGTATCAATGTTGTATCAACACTTACTGTCTTGCATCTTGGCTTATCAACCGAAAAGCATCCTGAACCATACAGAGTAGCATGGATCGACAATACTTCTTCAATCCCTGTCACCCAGCGATGTCAAGTTCCTATTCAATTCTCGTCTTACAAGGA